CGAACATTAACGGTAAAATGGCCGTCCGCTCGGACGTCGGATTCGAGAAATTCGTTGTCCGCGGAGAATTTTTGACCGTCGAGGACGGGCGGACGGGCTGTTTTTCGAGCCCTGCCTTAAATAGTGCAACGAAAAATCAAGGTTAATTCATGATGGATAAATGTGTTAATAAGTTTATATCGCTCTATTAGTTTATAGCAGAATGGAATAGGTAACCTTGCAGTAGCTGACAGCTATCACCCATTGGTTGTGAGTTGTTTCTTTCCTCTCTATCATATAGTGAGTGATTTTACATCCCCCGTCGTATTCCGGGGGGTTCCATGCCAGGGTGGCCGTGTGCTGGCTGATGTCGCTCACCTCCAAGGGACCGATGGGAGGACCAGGGAGACCTGCGACACACAATAAATGGATTGAGAATGGTGAGGGGAGAAAAAAAAGAATTTTTTAGAAATTAAGAGAGATATATTACCGGTGACAAAGAGTGAGAAGGTAGCTTCGGCAGATCCGCTGTCATTCTTGACTGTCAGTTTGTATTTCCCGACGTCATTCTTTGAGATGTCCTTAAAGTAAATGATGACGTAGTCGTCGAACACCGTGTACTTGATGTGATCGTCGTTCTCTTTCACCTCGAATCCCTCCTTGTGCAAGAAGACGTCGAAGGGTGAAGTGCCAGAGAAATAGATTTTCACTTTTCCGTTTTCTTTTTCGGGAAAGAGGACTTCTGTGGGGCATCTTTCGATTCTGGGTGCGGCTATTCAAGAAAGAGAATCTTCATTTATTTCGCATCACATTTAACAAACCGTCACTCTGTCCAAGTAGGATCAAGATTCTGATTTTATAGTAATTCTTAAATTTAGTCTCATATTATGTACAGTCCGTGGCCAAATTATTCGACGTACTATAAGATTCTATGCAAAATCTTAATGATCAGGTGATACTATACAGCTTTATTGTTTTCACGTGACTGTTTGCACTTGTTTACGGTCCTGTATCCATGGGTTACATTAGACGATATATCATATAAATTCGACGATTGGATACATGAGACGATATATCATATAAATTCGACGATTGGATACAGGAGACGATATATTATATAAATTCGACGATTGGATACATGAGACGATATATTATATAAATTCGACGATTGGATACATGAGAAGATATATTATATAAATTCGACGATTGGATACATGAGACGATATATTATATAAATATAGAATATTTATTATATCAAATTGTATAACGCACTGAAGGCTTTTTTAATAATAAAAAGTTTTGCACGAGGTTATAAGTGATACTTTTACATTTAGACACACATGTCATGAGTTTTTTTATTCATGAGATATTTAATATACTTATTATTTGTATTTATTTTGAACGTATTGCATGACAATGCTAACCCATTGATACACGAACATAAACAAGTGCAAACCGGTTTCAGCAGCGTACAAACTATAAAGCTGTATGGTATCACCTGATCATTTAGATCCTATAGAGAGCGTCTAATAGTTTGGCCAGGGACTGTAGGACATCTATATTCATAAAATGAAGAGTCCCTCCGTTTGTGAAGAAGGCAACTTTAGTCTATGATTCTACAAATGGTTTAAAAATTTCGTTGAGATCATTCGGGAAAGACGTTCACTGGCT